GAAAAGATACATAATAAAGGACATTTGCATTGGGGGCGGTTGGAGTTGAGAAGAAGCACTGAGGTTATGGGCAGCTGTTTTCCAAGTGCTCTCACCTTAACGGGTGATGCTTATCAGTTAACTGGTGGAGGCTGGAGCAGCCCCCCTCCTCCCCAGCTGTGGGCAGGGGGCTGCTCCAGCCCTGCAGGGCGTGCTGCAGACAGGGGCTTCTCCAGGGCTGGAGCAGTGTGTGTGTGTTTGCAGCAGGCCTGAGTGCCCTCTGGCCCAGCTCTTAATCGTTTAACTGGTTAACCAATTACATGGGATTTCACAACCCTAGTTCAGGCAAGAAGTACCCGGAGCAGTGGCTGGATAAATAGCAGGGAGACAGACCTTCGGAGAAGGGCTCTGGCCCAGTCAGAGACTTGGGTGAAGAGTCTTAATCCTAATTGGGGCTATTCGGGGGAGACACCTTTAAGTTCTGGGCTTGAAAGGCGATGTTGTCACCTGGGTGAGCTGGCAGAGGGCAAGCCAAAGGGAATGGGGTCAGTCCAAGCACTGGTAGGGAGGGAAGGGCACAGAGGCCCCTGGAACCTGTGTGAAAGATGAAATAAAGCAGCCTCACAATTGGATGGGGAAATCTGAGGAGGGGAAACTGAGGCTGGGCAGCTGTGGAGCCGCCCCTGCCAAGAGGGGGTACTATAGAGGTGGCCTCCCCATTACATTTTCCTAAAGCTTATTTCTCATTGCACTGAACATTTAGAAGAAACGTATCCAGGCTGCTTTGGTTGGGTTGAGTTCTGGACAGAATTTCAGGTTGGCTCAGACTGGCCCAGCTCTGTCCCTGAAGCGCAAGGGGGAGCAGAGCCCAGTGGGTAGAGAGCAAGACCCTCTCTCCCCTAGAGCTGCCTGGGTGCTTGGCTCAGAACCAGCATGGCAGACATCTCTCTTTAGAAATCTGTGTTCTGGCTACAGTGAAGTATCCGGCTTTGTGTCCAGGGAGCTCCAACGGTTCCAGTTCATGGGGCTTCCAGGCCAGCTTTTTACCTGGCGGTGTCCCATTGGTTCGTGTCTCCCAACTTAGGGTTCAAGCAAACTCAAAAGTGTAAAGCCACATTCAGTGGCTGAGGTTAACCTGCTTTCAGTGCAAACTCCTATGTGGGCCTGTTTGCTGGGATGGCCAGAGGGGCGTCGGGGAGCGGAACTGCCTCGTGTCCATGATGGTGCTCGTAGGCAGGCAAATGTTGGATGGTTTGGGGGATTTTGCAAAGGACTAAAACAAAGCTCCCTTAGCTCTGTTTGCAAGCTCCCCTGACACCGTAGCTAGCTGAGCAGAGAGGGTACCCTCCGTGCACCAGTGTTTTCTATGGGAAAGGAGGCCTTGATGTTTCCAAGAGGCTTCACGCATGCTCATGGTCCCTGCTGGAAGGACAGTTCTCACTGTTTACACACAGTGAAACCTGGACTAGAAATTGCCCTTATTGGACAATTGCCTATTTGAAGCAACTGCCCCAAAATATGCTGGACTACACGTGTCCCAGATATAACTAAGGGGACTTGGCCCACCTGAGTACTATTCTGCTCCACCTGGATTAGGAAATGACTTCTGGCTGCTTTTTGGAGCACTCACTTAAGACAGCCCCAGCTGCAATATATTGGCCATTTTTCTCCTCGCTCGGCTCCCTGATCCCGTGTCTTTCTGTGTCTCCGTTTTCCTTCCCATGCAGCCCTATTTATAGCTTTCAAATACCAGCCCGAGTGAGGCTTCTGCTCAGTTTAACTCATGTTTGGGGAGTGGAGGAGAAAGTTATCTGAACCCCTTTTAACTTTTCTGGTGCTTAACTTCCCAGTCTAATGTCCCGGGGACAGCAGAAACAGAGTGTCTCTCTCCACTGGTCAATGCGAGGCAAGCCTTGACTGTGATCTCATTTCCTTCTCAGTGCATGACTGGAACGCAAAGGAGAAGACGACGCCCACTGAGCTTCCGGCAGCCAATCGGCCTGCATCCTGACGCCATCTGATTTGGGTAAGTGAGGGGTTGCCCCCGAGAAAGGCATTTGATGCTTTTGCGTGGCAGAATGGATGATGCTCAATGATCTGCTGCTACATACAAACATAGGCTTGTCTGTGTTGCTGGGAGAAAGTCCTTTCTGCCATCAGGACCTAATTACTCGAGAGCTGAGGAGGTGTAGAATTCTTCAGGAAGAATGGGTGACGTCCCATCCTGGTGGCTGAGGGTGGGAAGAGACGCCTCGTACATTTCACCATACATGGAGGAGGTTTCTGGGAAGATGTTGCTATGGTTAGTTGAGATGGATCTCCAGTGTGTCTGATATATTTGGACAACTCCATGAGAAATGCCGTCATCGCAATCTGGTTAGATTACATGTGGGAAGGGGGCGGCCTTTCTAATGGTAAGGAGAGTGAAGCACTGGACTAGGTTACCAAGGCAGGTTGTGGAAACCCCATCGCTAGAAGTTTCTAACAGGTTAGACAAACACCTGTCAGAAGGAAGGTGTAATCAGTCCTACCTCAGGGAGCTGGGCTGGTTGATTTTTGAGGTTCTTTCTAGCTCTGTCTTTTCATGATTCTCTCTATCATCTGTAGGATATTCCTCCATCCTTAAAAAAAGTCGGTTTTCTATAAGGTTTATATTATGTTGATTGCAGACAGAAATGGCTGATCACTGACTAAGTGTAGATCCCCCTCCTCTCTAATGCAGGGGGTGTTGGTCAGACAAGCTCTTAATTCTGTCTGAGGGCGAGCAACAGTGCCCACAAATGACTGTGCTTTGTGAGATGTCTCTATTACAGTCACACGACGTCTTGCTCCGCTCTATGACGACGCAACCTACTTCCCAGCTCTCTCTCTAGGACAGCTGAAAGAGACAGGAGCAGGTTTTGGCTTGTACTATACACACAAAATCCTAGACTAAAATCTGTGAGCTGTCAGTTTGATACAGGCAATGCGTGAGACAGCAAACATCAGAGCTGACTGGTCTGAAGCAATTTCCCAGCACAACAGTCCTCCGGAGAGAACAAAGAGATCTTTCAATGCAGAATGGAATTTAGTTTCCTAATGAAAAAAAAACCGGATGATTCAGGCATCTCCTTTCACAGAGCTGGGGAAAGAAATAATTCCGGTTGGTTCTGCACTAATCTGGTGCGAGTGGGGGGTGGGGGTGGATGTGCTCTGATCTGGGGCCACTTTTGAAGGCGGAGCGGTAGTTGTACTGTGAGTTAGTCCGTGGGGAACAGTCTGCTCAGAACTCCTGCGGAAGGAGCCCTGTGTTGCTAACCTGAGCTGGCCGGCCGGCAGCCTCATTCCTTTGGGTCTGTTTTTTATTCCTCCCCCCACCATGTTCTTTGCTCGGAGCAAAGGGAGGTCTTCATGGATCCACCCACTGCAGGCAAAATGGAGACACGTCCTCCTGCTCCACCTCCACTGTATAATCATGTGGATAGCAACAATGGGCATCGAGTGGCTCCGGGCTGCCTTGGACGTTTCCTCCTTCATCATCTATGCTGCGGTAGCGTTGTGAATCCGGGGGCTGTATAAGCCCATAGAAAGGGACATACCCTGCTAAAAGAGGCAACATAGGCAATATTATCAGCCATATTCTACGTGGGGGGGAGGGGAATGAAGGGGGGTTTCAGAGAGGTTAAAATTCCTCCATTCCATTGAATTCAGTAGGAGCTGGGGAGCCAATGTCTGAGCTATACGGATCGGTGGTTCTCAGCCAGGGACCCACAGGCCTCTAGCGATCCACTCAGCACACCGCTGCGACCCATGGGATGTCCTTAGGGCTATACAGGTAGCTGCATATGAGGCCTATAATGGCGAATAGAGGGAGAACCATGGGGACAGATTAAAGGATTTACTGAAGGTCTGTGGGAGAGTTGGGAATTTAACTCACATGCCCACGTTCCAGTTGAGAGTCTTACCCATAAGCCCTTGCCATGTGCTCTGCTTTCTCTCTCTTTGGACTACGATGTGACCTGTGGCCTGGACTGACCTAAAACTTGGGGCTCTTCTCTTTGTGTGGTGGAGAGGGAGTGAGCTGGCAAATACATGTTCTTGTGTAAACTGCCTGGGTAGGCAGGGAGATGGTTGTTTGTCTGGACAGGGGAAACAAAAGCCTCTTTGGGGACCATTTTCGTGGCACAGGGCAGGGACCGACCAGTCTGGTCGTGCTTAGTCACCAGTCCCATGGGTGCTCTTTTCTACGTTGAACCTGTCACGTGGCTGCGAGCTGCAAACTATATTCCACATCAAGATGCTGGGACAAAGAGAAATGATCAGCCATCGCCCTCGCGCTTCGTCCTATGAGAATGTTAACAGAAAGCTGATTACTGGGATCACTTACCAGCAGGCACGTGCATTTACCACTCCCAGACCACAAGACGTGCCATGGCCTTGGCATCGTGCCCAGCATTTAAGGGGAACTTCACAATGGAAGGGGTTGAGGGAGAGGGAGAAGAGCCATTCGCCAGTGCAGGGGGAGCAAACCATGAGGATGGGCCAGCAGGGTTGGCCTGGCGTATGGCAGTCGTTGTATTTTATCATACTGGTGACATAGGATATGGGCATTCGCACCTACTTTCTTTCCCTCCTCTGCCCAAGCCAGTGTGGGGACATAGATGTGCCGGAGCAGGCACCAGAAAGCAGGCTGGGTGATTCAGTTGCTGGAACTCCTGGCTTTCACCCTGTGCTCCCAAATGGGTTTTTAAAAGTAATGCTAGAAATACATATTTGGCTTCTTTGAACTAGGGTGTGATTTACAGGGACCTTTCCCTTTATTAGTAGTGGTAATAGTATGGTAGAGTCCCCAAAGCCAGCCTCCCTGTTGTTCTAGGCCCTGCACAAGATCAACACAAACAGCCCCTGCACCTCAGTCTGCTCTGCACATGTGGCACCTTGTATCCATAGAATCCCAGGGCTGGAAGAGACCTCAGGAGTCATCAAGTCCAGCCCCCTGCCCAAGGCAGGACCAATCCCAACTAAATCAACTCAGGCAGGGCTTGATCAAGCTGGGACTTAAACACCTCTAGGGATGGAGATTCCACCCCCTCCATAGGGAACCCATCCCAGTGCTTCATCACCCCTGTTCCTCCCCCTTCACAGCGTTGCCAGATCCAGCAGTGATAGCACAAGCCATAGGATATTTGGTGTTTTTCATAAGGCCCCAGCTCCTGGATTCATGGGATTACGCGAGAATTGTGGCTTCTGTTGTTTAAAAACAAATCAAAAAAAGAAGTTCCCAGCCTTGCGTCTGTGGTGGAAAGGCTGTCAGCGCGAACTGGGCTCTCCTGAAAGGCTGTGGGCCCAGAAGGCAAAGTGTTTGCTTTCTCTAAAGCTCATGATTTGGGGGTGCCTGGCTCACGCGTTTGGAGGCTGGCACTTGGAACCTGGTCTCCCATCTGTCCGAGCTCTGCCTGGGGGTGGGCTGGTCTCTGCCATGCTGTTTGGACAGCTCCAGCGGCAGGTGGAACCGTTGATCACTACCCGCTGGGCCCGGCCTTCTAGCCATCTTTCTATCCATCTTACCGTCCATTTATCCAATCCACATTCCCTTAACTTGCTGGCAAGAATATTGTGGGAGACCGTATCAAAAGCCTTGCTAAAGTCAATGCTAGAAATACATATTTGGCTTCTTTGAACTGGGGTGTGATTTACAGGGACCTTTCCCTTTATTAGTAGTGGTAATAGTATGGTAGAGTCCCCAAAGCCAACCTCCCTGTTGTTCTAGGCCCTGCACAAGATCAACACAAACAGCCCCTGCACCTCAGTCTGCTCTGCACATGTGGCACCTTGTATCCATAGAATCCCAGGGCTGGAAGAGACCTCAGGAGTCATCAAGTCCAGCCCCCTGCCCAAGGCAGGACCAATCCCAACTAAATCAACTCAGGCAGGGCTTGATCAAGCTGGGACTTAAACACCTCTAGGGATGGAGATTCCACCCCCTCCATAGGGAACCCATCCCAGTGCTTCATCACCCCTGTTCCTCCCCCTTCACAGCGTTGCCAGATCCAGCAGTGATAGCACAAGCCATAGGATATTTGGTGTTTTTCATAAGGCCCCAGCTCCTGGATTCATGGGATTACGCGAGAATTGTGGCTTCTGTTGTTTAAAAACAAATCAAAAAAAGAAGTTCCCAGCCTTGCGTCTGTGGTGGAAAGGCTGTCAGCGCGAACTGGGCTCTCCTGAAAGGCTGTGGGCCCAGAAGGCAAAGTGTTTGCTTTCTCTAAAGCTCATGATTTGGGGGTGCCTGGCTCACGCGTTTGGAGGCTGGCACTTGGAACCTGGTCTCCCATCTGTCCGAGCTCTGCCTGGGGGTGGGCTGGTCTCTGCCATGCTGTTTGGACAGCTCCAGCGGCAGGTGATATCCAGCCATTGGCCCTCCTGTTACCAAACCCTTCTGAAAATCAGCCCCAGAGACCACACCAGTGCTCAGACTGCTGCCCTCCGCTCCTTTTACCCGCATGCCAACTGACGTCCGAAGGTGAGTGACACGTGCAGCCAGCCATCCTCTTGCCCAGAGGCATGTATGTTTGATCACACACTGCCCCCAGCCTGCTACTGCTGCTGCCCAGCTGAACGATTACCCCTCTCCATGCCCCAGGCTCATGTTGCATTTCACTCCTCAGCACTGTCAGAGCTGCCTACAGGCTGGACACAGCAGCAGTGCCCTGCTATGGCCCCTCCCTCTCCTAGCCCAGCTTGGACGGGAGGGGAGGTGTCTGGACAGGGGGCCTCAGAGCCCAGCCCTCAGCTGGGGTGATTTTGCTCAGCCGTGCTAATGGAGTCGGGCTATGCTGGTTCACACCAGCTGAGTATCTGGCTCTCAAATGTCAAAGGTGGCCGAGGCTCTCAAAGCATCCATGTATTAGGCCCTTCTCTCCGCCCAGGCAGGTGGGGGAGATCCTCCCTGGAGAGACAGGGAAAGTGAGGCAAGGAGCCAGGCAGTGACTTGCCCAGGGACTCATGATTAGGTCTCCCCCTTGCTCCCATCCTGGGGCCCCTTCC